GAGAGAGAGAGAGAGAGAGAGAGAGAGAGAGAGAGAGAGACTAAATACTGATTCATCAGTACAGGGAGTCATTAGTACTTAAAAGATTTATATCCATAGGGCTGTCCTTTGTGTTTAATGTAAAACTGAGGTGTAGAATGCAGAAGGCATATACACTAACAACATCCATAAGAGGTATTCTAGCTACAGAGCAATGAGGTATGTAGGATACTACCTGGCATGCTAGGGAAAGCTATTATGAAAAGGTTTTTACATCTTATAATCATATATAGTTATATCCCTTCTGTAAAGTTACTGCCATTCTCCACAAGCTGGCTTCAGTGTGTCAATTTGCAGAAAAGACATGGTTCAAGTGTTTGGCCCTCATTTGTGATTTCTAGCAACACTGGCAGCAGTATTCTTGTACAAGTCCTACTTCAAATAATCATTCTGTGACCCTCTAATAAAATCTTGTGTTTTTATGAGGCAAATGTCTTTGTATGGGCTTAAAGGGAGAAACCCATCAAGTAGGAACAGTTCCTGAAGTGACTGGGCCTTGCATGTGCAAATGATACAGAGGAAGGGTACTTGTTGTCACCACTTTATATACCAGACTTAAATCTTAAACAAGAAACAAAGGGGAAAATACTGTAACCACAATGGCCATTTTAAAAGGCTCTTTCTGAACAACAAAACTGTTTGGTACAAAGTTGGATGTCCTTCCTGAAACACATGACTGGTGGGTCACAAAAAGCATGTTATATTCCTGACTCCCTCCATAAAAGGGGTTACCTGGGACTGGCAAGGGAAGGTTCCTTTCTTTTGCTATCAATATTGTGAAGGAAAATCCGGCTAAAGGCACAAAAGACACGTTTAGGCTGCCAACATAAGCACTATGTTTATCACTCCTACCATATGTTTTGTCAGCATTTTTGCCTGCAGTTTGATTTCAGCAATTACAAAACAAGTCTGAACGCTGAAAAGGAGCGTATTTAATGCAGTACAGACTTGTATATGTCAATGTAAAATAAAATGCACAGGCAAGCTGGTTTTAGGCAAGCTGTCTCCATTTCAAATAGATGCTGAACAGTTTTGAGGGGCAACATTGGAGGAGGAAAAGGAGTATCCCCCTATTACTGACCCACCCATCTCTCATGCTTTTTATCATTGGGAAAGCATGAAAGCTCTTTCAGCATTTTCTGCATCTGATATATGTCTTAGAAAGGTTCAAGACTAGCATTAGAAGCAGGGAAGAGATTGACTTTCAAAAGAAGATGAAAAAAAAAGTGGGGGGAGAGATTTCTAAGACATGCTTGCTACTACTGCAGGGACTGCAAAAATGCAGAGCATAATGTAAAAACCATTTAGAATGCATAAAGTATAAGGAAATTATGTGGTATATATTTATATGAGGAAGAGTGTAGGTTAAAGAGCTTTTGCATATTTTAAAAAATATATAAGGAAGTACCTATGCTATTTACTAATATTATCTGACAAGGTTAAACCTAATCTTCATGCCTGCTAGAACTGGAAAAATACGAATATATAGTAAGTTGACATTCTGAGGCAAGAAAGCTTTAGAGAGCTTTCTGTGTGCCTATCTCTAGTAGGCCACATTTTCCTGCCACAAATGAAAACTTTAATGTTGCCAGCCAAGCCTCATTCTTTTTTCTGATAAGCTGTTCCTCAAATATGAATGTAGATTAATCCTCTTTTAATAAGCATTAACTCAGAACAGATAATCAGTGTATAAAAATTCCATCAAATCGCCTGCCTGCGACGATTCTGTCAAATTATTTATCCTCATCTAACAGTTTTAGGACTTGTGCATAAAATGTTTAGCATTCCATAATTTTCTATCTATTTTTAATTTGTTTATATTTACTCAGTTTCATAAAATCTTTAATCCCCAAGGGCACTAGTCACTAAATAAGCTTACCTACTCATAAGTGAAAATACACATTTACCTTCCTTGCATGACTGATAGTCTCAGCACTCTTGAAAACACCTGAGCATTGAAGTGAGCTTTTATTGGCACACCAATGAGCTTGAGGGCATATGAAAGATAAAATGGAAATATGGAGTTCCTTCTGTTTCCACACATGTGCTCTGTATATTTAATATACAAACCCTGGGTAGAAACATGAAGGGACAGTTACAACTATCTCTATTAAAATATATATATATATTAATCTGTTCCATAGTTCTAATGGTTGGGGGTGAAAGAACTTGCAGATTATACTAGAAGAAGGGGATAGCTGCCATGTAATACCCATTCCATCCACAATGCAAAAACCTCTGGGATGTGTTGGTATCTGGCAATCTGACTAGAGGGTAAACATGAAAAACAGAAAATCAGCATGCAACAATGTGATAGCTGCTTTAGCTTTTACAGAAGGTGTCAATGGCTCACAAGCATATAAGGCTATAAGATCTGTGGTGTCGTGTAAATTGCTAAAAGACGGGACAATTATACATTGTGGTGCTGGCAGATCTTTGTGGCAGGGTTTGCTTTGCAGTTTTTCAGCCATCTTTTCAAGAATTGATATTTAATCCACTGTTTCCATTAATTATACTACTGCTTACCAGATAACAGAGTCACTCATTTGACTTCTTTGGAAAAAGTTCCGGCTTTGAGCGCTGTAAATCAGAGATTCAATTCCTGATGATAATTCATGATGGGACGACATTGTAAGTGGTGGCTTGTGAGCCAGCAGATATATACTAAACAGCTAGTTCAACTATCAGGGGTAAATATTTAGCTTTTACAGTGTTATATTTTTTTTCCTTATTTGTTAGAACTTGAACAACTATGCGCTTCCTAGGAAACGTTCGCAAATCCAAAAGTTTCCATGAATTTAAGCACAACAGATCATTTGTCCCCAACAC